TGTCTTGTGACGCAGTTGGGTGCTTTCCTCAATGTGCGTCCTATCCACTTCCTGATTTCTTCCTTCACTGGGATCTGGTTTGTTCTCTCCCACAGTACGTTGTTGCTAATAGTGTCCGGCCAATGGATCTGAAGTATTTTGCGTAGACAATTGTTAATTAACACCTGTATTTTCGGAATGATGGCTTTCGTAGTTCTCCAGGTTACTGCCCCATACAGTAAAACTGTCTTGTCATTTGTATTGAAAATCCTGACCTTGGTGTTGGTTGACAGTTGCTTTGAGTTCCAGATGTTCCTCAGTTGTAAATATGCTGCTCTTGCTTTGCCGATCCGCGCCTTCACATCTGCATCAGATCCACCATGTTCATCAATGATCCTGCCCAAACATGTAAAGGTTTTTACATCTTCCAAATCTTCTCCCTTAATTGTGATTGGATTGGTGCATTCTGTGTTGTATCGAAGAATCTTGCTTTTCCCTTTGTGTATATTGAGGCCTACTGCTGCTGAGGTTGCTGCTACACTGGTCGTCTTCTGCATTTGTTGTTGCGTTTGGGATAGAAGGGACAGATCATCTGCGAAGTTCAGATCGTCCAGCTGCATCCTAGATGTCCACTGTATCCCGTGCTTCCCTTCAGATGTTGACGTCTTCATGATCCAGTCGATCACCAGGAGAAAGAGAAGGGGTGAGAGTAGGCAACCTTGCCTAACACCGGTCTTCACTTCGAACGACTTTGTCAACTGTCCTCCATGCACTATTCCGCAGTGCAATCCATCATATGAGTTCTGTATGATATTGACTATCTTCTGAGGCACGCCGTAGTGTCGAAGAAGTTTCCATAGTGTTGTCCTGTCCACGCTATCAAATGCCTTTTCGTAGTCAATGAAGTTGATGTAGAGTGATGAATTCCATTCAATTGATTGTTCCACAATTATCCGTAGAGTTGCGATTTGGTCTGTACACGATCTATCCTTACGGAATCCTGCCTGTTGGTCTCGAAGTTGGGCGTCTACGCAGTCCTTCATCCTGTTTAACAATACCCTGTTGAAGACTTTTCCCGGTATTGAGAGAAGAGTGATGCCCCTGTAGTTATCACAGTTGCTGAGATCGCCTTTCTTCGGTATTTTGATCAGAAGTCTGATGGCCATGCTGATTTCTTCAATTGATGGTGGGCCAAAATTGATTGGGAGGTCCGTGGGTGCTGCTTCGATGTTGGGTGGGTTCAGTGGGGCTCGGCGATTCAAGAGTTCTTTGACGTGTTCCACACACCTGTTTCTTTGTTCTTCAGTGTTGGTGATTACCTTGCCTTCCTTGCTTTTCACTGGTTGCTCCGGTTTACGGTGATTTCCAGAACGTTTCTTTGTCGAGTCACACAGTTGTCTCATGTTTCCTTCTCTTGCAGCCTTTTCCGCCGTCGTTGCTAAATCTTCCACATATTTACGTTTGTCGGTTCTCATGCTCCTCTTCACCTGTTTGTTTACTTCTGTGTATTCAGCTTGTGCCTTGGCTTTTTCTGCTCTTGTTCGGCTGGTTTTGATTGCTGCTTTCTTGTTCCTCCTTTCTTGAATCTTATCCAGTGTATCAACAGTGATCCATTCATTGTGATGGTGCTTCTTGTGGCCCAGGACCTCATGACATGTTGAAGTGATTGCCTGTTTGATCCCCTTCCATTTGCTCTCCACAGTATTTCCTTCTCCATTGAGTAGATCATGAAAGGCCTGGAACTTGTTGCTGAGGCCTATCTTGAATTTGGTTAATTTGTTAGTATCCTGAAGAAAGGCCGTATTGAACTTTTGTGATATTGTCCGCCCCGTTGTCCAGTGTTTCTTGAGTTTAAACTTCATCTTGGCGGCCAGCAAGTGATGATCTGATGCTATATCAGCTCCTCTCTTGGTTCTCACGTCCTCTATATTCCTCCTGAACGTTTTGTTGATGCAGATATGGTCGATTTGGTTTTGTGTAGAGTGATCTGGTGAAGTCCATGTGGTTTTGTGTATGCGTTTATGTGGGAATATGGTGCCGCCTATGACCAGTTTATTGAAGGCACATAGGTTTGCAAATCTCTCACCATTTTCGTTCCTTTCTTCCAGTCCGTGTCGTCCCATGATGTCTTCATATCCAGTGTTGTCCGTTCCAACCTTGGCGTTGAAATCTCCCATCAGAATGGTCAGGTCCTTTGTTGGGCACTTATCGATGGTTGACTTCAGCCTATTGTAGAATTGATCTTTAGCGTCTTCATTGTAGTCGTTGGTAGGCGCATAGCATTGGATGATGTTCATTGAAATACCCTCTTTCTTTGTTTTGAAGGAGGCTTTGATGATCCTTGGTCCATGAGATTCCCATCCTATAAGCGCATTTTGTGCTTGTTTTGATAACATCAATGCAACTCCTTGTGTATGTGGTGCGTTTTCTTCATCATGGCCGGAGTGTAGCAGAAGCTCCCCTGAATCTAGTCGTTGTTGTCCAAATTGTGTCCAATGTATTTCACTGATCCCAAGCACCTCTAGGCTGTATCTCCTCATTTCGGCAGCAATTTGGAAGGCTCTCCCGGTGTCCCACATTGTACGAACATTCCATGTACCTAAATAAATGGTCGCTCTGGTTGTCAGAAGGGGCATCGGCCTCGTAACTTCCGAAGGAATTCGGCTTTCATCGTGAGGCGTCATAATTCTTCTAAATGAAGACCTTCTGACTCCTAGGGCAGAGTTTAAAAGGTTTGAATAATTTTTTCTGGTTAGCGTTTTTTTAGCGAGTTGGTTTTCTACGGGATGGGGACGCTAACCCCATGCCCAACCCTCTTCCTTTATCCGGGCTTGGGACCGGCAGTGGCCCCCGGAGGTACTACAGGCGGAATTCGTAAGTTAAGATTATACCCCCCAAAACGACAACTTGAAAGCTTTCACTTACTGACACGGCTCATTTACACTGAATAATTTAGATTTGGTTCATGATCACCTGATATCACTTTGATAATTCCTAGCAGTAAGCAGAAAGTAAACGGTGGCTGGTTCAGATGGGTGTTTGTATGTTTTTTTTAAAAACAGTAACAATAATTTTTAGCTGCTGAAATGTTTTCCGTGTAAGAAAGTTGAGACTCTTTTTTCGTCCAATTGTGCACGTGATATATTTCAAATTATGTCAGTGCAAAGTAGAAACAATTTTGATTCAAATGGCACCTGATATACAAATACATATTCAATACTATTGTTTGATTTTTCTTCTAATTAAGTCGTTTAAACATATTTACATAAAATAAGGTAATCGATTTGTGATAAAGGAAATTTCAATATACGGAAAGTTATTTGTTGCGGATAAAATTTTCACATTCTTCATATTGAAGACTGTAGATGATATTTCTGTACTGATGTGTTGATATCCCATTTTAGTTAAAAGTTATAATAAATTAAGATTGTGGTTAGAAGGGGAATCAAGAACACAGGTTTCGTCCTATCTGGGATTCGCTAGACGAATTTACATTCATCCCCGATGTCAGTGTTCACATATCGAAATTCCATCCATAATATCAACAACGAAAATATTTTGAATAATAACTCCATACACGTTAGAAAAGTTAGCGCCTTTCCGAACTCATTAAATTTTTAAATAATACTTTGTCGCTTCAAGCGACATTTACTGCGATCGAGTTCCATTATGATTATCAACGCTGGGACCCCCAGTTACACCCAGATGATGAATCCAAAGCAGGACGAAATGCATGTTGTGGAATATGCGGTTAACCAGAATTCAGATTTATTAATACAAAAGTAAAACAAAACGTGGGCTTTTTACATGTAATGTATACGATTAGGTCAGTAAATTTATCGTTTTTTTCTCAAGCCAATAAGGTTTATCATTGCATCACCCCTCATCCCATTGTTTTTACGTTGTGTTAAGTCTTTTTACTTCAATATTTTAGACCTAGTACCTAATATCTTCAGTTCTATATACATCGTCATTGTCACACTTAATAATAATCTATTTCCCACTTGATCATACATTCTACACACATGACATACGTATATGCACCGGGTCAATTTAGTTGGTCAGTGGAACATTTTCATCAGAATTTAAATTTCCTCTCTGTTTTACTCTCCGTAGTTTTATTTTGTGGAGAGTCAGTCTATTTTTATCAATCTTGTCTGATTTGTCACATTTGATTAATGATTTTGAAATGATAATATTTGTAAATTGGTTTACTGATATTGAAAATATTCATTAATCATACTTTTGTAAATGCAGTTTATTTTTACTCTGAACAATAATATCCATTAAATACTCATTTTATTAAGAATTTTCATGATATAAGAACTCTAGACAACTGTGTACCGATCACTTTTTTCGATGCTGACCTTGTTTAACCAATTGTCTGTTTGTATTTGTGTTTCTATCGGCAATTTTCTTTTTCTCACAGTTTAAGAGTTGAACTCATTATTATCTATCTTTTTTTAATGTTTTTTTTCACATATTTATGCCTTATTTAAAATGTGCTTACTTGGATCATTTTATATTTATTTCAAGCAGAACGTTCTTTTTAACTGACAGTTTGTTTTTATAATTAATAATTGTGGATTATTTTTTCTATCATTGTATATTGAATAATGAACGGCATTGTGTAACTTTTATAGTTTTGCTTTCCTACATTCTATTGACAATAAATATTTCATTAGTGACTTTTATGTTAACTTTATAACAAGAAGTTCTATTAGTTTTAAAAAATCCCTACTGGTTTATTTTTCAGTCATTTATAAATACTCTTCAAAGCATGAACTGTTGGTTTGGTTCATGTGAAAAAGAAAACTTAATCAATCCATCTTAACCTCGTGTTAATTAGGAAAGATGTTTAATACGTAATTGTTAAATGTCTTGATGAAACCAACTAATTTATTCTCTATTTCTGGGTATGCACTATTTTAATTCGAACGTGACGTCGTTTCTGTAGGATTATTTTTACTCGATTCTCTAAGAAACTAGATATTATTTCATTTTGATTCACTTCATTGTAGGTTCTTGTGATGCTGCTGATTTTCTCCGTGAAGCTCAAACAATGAAACGCTTACACCATCCTAATCTGATACAATTGTACGCTGTTTGTACACAGACAGAACCTTTCTACATAGTTACAGAATATATGTCCAAAGGTTCTTTACTAAACTACTTACAATCTCCTGAAGGTCATGCACTAGATATGCAATGTTTAATTATGATGGCTGCTAAAATAGCTTCTGGTATGGCGTATCTTGAATCCAGGCGTCATATTCATCGAGATTTAGCTGCTAGGAATGTTTTAGTTGGCGAACAACATGCTGTGAAAATAGCAGATTTCGGTCTTGCTCGTATGATTCATGTAAGTATATTGTATTAACAAATTATTTGGTCTTCATTCCATATCCTTACTGTTTTAATTATTTATTCAGTATTTTCTTATAATTTATAAATGACAAGTAGATTAGTTTTCTTCAATGTCTTTCTGTTATTATTTGTACGCCTATTCATATATTCATTAATTCTTAACTTAATCATTGTTATCATTTTAATGTTTATCATTTACGCGATTTTTATCGCGTTTGTATGCTCATTGATTCTTGAGTATGCATGTGTGATATATACAGTGGTTTCTGTAATCTGTGACATCATCTTATCAACCAATAGGTCGCACGTTTGTAACCCGCTCCACTTAGTTGAATTCATACCACGGGATAGTACCAATAATCTTTATAAAATTTTTATAACTAATAGGCGAGTACATCAACTTGTACTTGGTAAATGAGTTTTATTACATTAATGTTAGCGGGACATAGATTGGATTAAAGCGTGCTCAATGCACGATTGCGTCGATGCACGCTGAATGGCTAATTCTTATCCAATCAGCGCTAGCCGATAATTGGAGGACACTCTAAAATCTTGTCATCTAAAAACCATAAATATACTAACGTTTTTCTGATTGTGCTTCTTACTTCCATCTACCCTCGTTATTTGGGACATAATTTTCTTCATATTCAACCGTGTTCTGATTTGGGGACTTGTCGAATGAATCGATGTCCAAGAATATCAAGCAATAGTAATAGCTGAGTTGTAATAAAGAGTGAATTATAACAATTACTTATATAATGTATGTACATAGTTTTCCAATTACGTCTTCATATCAGTGACAAACTGTTAGTTTTCCAAAAGAATAACTTTTAATTATGTGCTGAAGGGGGTGAGCATTATAGTCAGTCAGTCATGTGAAACTTAGAACATGATGCACGTGTGCATTGCTATACCACAGCGAGCTTAAATAATTGAGGCGAATCCCATAGTATTAACAGTATCAATAGAAGTAGTAATAGTGGAAAATAAATACTGAGAAATCTAAAATATGATATAAGGAAATGCTGGGACTCACGTTCTAAGACCCCGATGAGAGAGATATCAAATATTATCCAGCCATATAAAGCATTTCAATGAATATTTTGTAAAGTTCATTCAACTCATTTGTCGTGATTTGGATATAGTTCCAGGGAAATGAAGGCGACTAAAAGCGGAACACTTCCAAATGATTAGAGACCAGAGTCTTAGCCAGCTGTTAAGAATTTAAAACGTTTCTTAAGTGACCGCATTGTCTAAATTGATTCTTTCTTCGCACTGCTAATTTTCTTTGTTTTCGGATAGTAAAGTTGTTTAGAATGTAAGACTTATTCGTTTAGAATTATATTATTTAGTAACTTAGACCGATAAATTCTATTTTATTTTTTCTATCAGCAATCGATTCGTTGTATAAGCAGTTCACTATAATGATTAGGGTTAGTAAAGGGGAATGTTGGTTGTTGTTGTTGTATATGTGCACGTACTTCCATTAGTTCAAACTTTTTAATCACGAGTTTCTCTTCTCTCAAAAAAAGAAAACTTTATTTTATGGACTTGATGTGGTAACTTTCTTTGTGAAGCAAGTGTCATACATAAAATATTGATTAGTTCATCCCTATTTTGTCACGAGTAAATAAAATTAATCAAACTACATCTTGATTAAGTTTTGTTGTATTTTATTTTTAAAAAAAACCTACTTTACAGATTCAGTTGATACGTGCGCACCAATTACAGAAGTATTCAATTAATGTTAACCACTTTCTTATACATCTGTTCATTATATATATATATATATATATATATATATATATATATATATATATATATATATAGAGAGAGAGAGAGAGAGAGAGAGAGAGAGTTTTTCTTTGAGCTTATATTTCCTAGGGAAATTTCCAGTGTTAATCTGAACACAACCTTCTGTTCAACTTCACAATTTTTTTGAAGTTTATCTTGGTATTTATTGTCGAGTTAGGGAAACTTGCCATCTTAAAACAATTTCATTACTTTATGTTTATCTGAAAAAAAAATTATTTCTATTGAACTAGCGAAGTATAATAATGTTCTCTGTAAACCTAATTCTTGTAACGTTTTTAAATTCGATTTAGTTAATATGTTGTATTTCTTAGTCATTTTAACGGTTTGTTCATAATATGCTTTGGTTATTTGACTTTTGATGAAATACATAGGAATTATGTAGTAGTAATCAAAATAAATGTTTTTAAATATGAGTTAGTGTCCAAGTAGATGCCTATGTACTCTCTTTGAAGCCTAGTTTTTGTGTGAGGACTGATGTTCTGACCTGAGACTCGGTGGTTAAAATGTAAATGTAATAACTATCATACTATCATCTCTTTTCCTAGTTCAAACTGATAAATGTTTACAACATTACAGAAGATGTAAAAGCCAGCAGAACCCGAAAGATGTTAAAATAAATGGAAGGCAAAAAACGAAAAATTATCTAGTAAAATGATGTTCATGATTCAGAGAGAAAGATCATTAGGAAGTATATGAGGTTGGGTTTTTAACCCTCATCTTTTCAGATTTAATATTTAGCAAGACCATCACAATCAGAAACCTTCGGATGAGCAGTCAATCCTCAAAAATACCTGTTAAGTTTGTCCAGAACTCTCTCTACCTTCTGGGAGTTCAGTAGATAAACTTCTTAATGGTCTTCCAGCATACTTTCTATTTATCGAGTTACCTGTATCTCAATTGTGTTCCCATTGTCTTTTAACTATAACTTGGAGGTGAATAATTTCTAACTATGATGTTTTTCTTGAAAAGAAAATCAATACTCGCTAATATCAGCAGTTTATTTTTAATGAAAAGCTAGGTTCAAATCACATGTAGGTTTTCTCTATCACCTTTTATTATATACATGTGATGCAATATATCTTCAGTAATGAACATAATAGAATCATACAAACGGTACCCTATATAAATGTAGGTGGGAATGTAATGCTATAATAACTTTTGGCCATTAAGACCATAACCTCTTTATCATGAATATTATCAAATAATCAAATGTTTTAAGTACTTCATAAGTCGAGTCAATTCCGAAGTGTGCTGTTATTTTACTTTTCCTACGGTCCCCTGCAATATTTTAAATGTTTTTTGTTAAGTTCGCTTTTTGAAATAAATCACCTGATGTTATTTTTTTCGATCATTTTAATATCATAATATTGTTATATCACAGTTCTATCTCCACTACTTGTCCACAAGTACTATCGTGCACTTAACTTTTAAGTGACAGGGGACTCATAAATACATTTTCCATTTGTGGAAATGAGCCTCCCGGTCAGTTGGATATTACGCTACACTAACCTGAACAATCACATCCCATTTGCTAGGGTTTTGCCGAAAAAAAAACTCTTCATCACAGTAACTTAAAAAATCTCAAATTAAAAAGATTTTTCATAGATTACAACTATGCCGAAATACGAAAACGCAAATTACGGTTGATTTGTGCATTTGTATTTGAATTTCGTCTAATTATTTTGTCAAACCCATGCTGAAGAATTTCTTGTGTTTATTATCGACACTATCAGTTAACATATTAAAATAAAAATATATTGTCTGACTATTAGTTTTAATGCAATTTACATCTTAACAGGCATTACAAAAAATCATTATTTTATTATTAGGGTCTATAGGCAAGCCATATCGACAAATACGTGTATCGATGTGCACATATATGCACATATACATAAAAGTGTTTGACTTCAGCAAACTAATACTGAGTCATCTTTTCACGAAATAAGTAGGACATTGTTTCGCTTCAAGCCTTTCATAAGATAAGAAGTTTACTTTTTCAAAAATGCATTTCTAAAATTTAATGTACTGTTTAAGTTTAAAAAGGATACACCACGGGCCTGGCATCCAACTTTCGCCTCTGTCTTACTGTCTTATTCACAGTATTAATTATGACAAAATGATAATAGTAATGTAATGCAGTTAATGTATGCATACTCGGGTTTTCGCACATTCTTTATGTGAGGACTAGATAGCGCTATCCAGTAATATCCGAATCAAAGTGATTTCCTCACCTCGAACTTTTTGGTTTAGAGTCACGTATCTTTATGCATTTCTCATTGATGAATTCTAAACCTTGGTTTGAGAATAGTCACATGGATTAACACAATGAAAACAAATGTTTTAATAATACTTGAACCGTATTCAGGTCATAGTAATCAGGATTAGCCAAAAGGATATTGATACAATACAGTGAAATGAATTGCGATGCTGTGACATTGGAATGCAAATGTAGAGGATTTGTATGGCACATCATCATACAGAATCACCGTCACTTGTACATAAATATGAGTTTAGGATTAGTCATATGAAGAAGTACAAATTATGTGGCACAACCAGAATGATAGCTATAGTCCTCCCGTGATTATGTATTTTCAGATCAAATTCAAATAAGTAGAAGCTTGGATGGTCTTGTCTCACGAATTCACCCCAGTTATCCTGTTCGACCTGAAAGTTTCGATCAACCGAATGTTTAAAAGACTTTCCTTTTAGTCATATCAAATCACTTTAAGTATCCTACCCATCACCTGTTTGTTCAACCTTTGTTTTACTGTTTGCTTATATTCAACCGGACCACTGACTTCACGCCCTTAAAAAATGTTAGCACATTTTATTATGAAAATTATATTTTCAAGTGAAGACCAAACTTCATTTTTTTAAAGTCCTATAATCACTGTTCCTACAAAATAGGACTGTAGTAATTTAAATCAATTAGTCCGTTTTACAAACTTCGATAGAGCGATAAGAATGTGGAGTTGATCTGAAAAATGTAATGTATTTGTTCCATACATTTTGAACAATTTGGTCACATATATACTTGTCAAAGCATTTTGTATGAAAATTAATAAAGGTCAATTAAATGAAGGGTCCAAGTAAACCAAGTAATATAAAGGAGAAAGAGAATTAACATTGTATAGAAAGAATAAGAAATTGTCGTATTGTCGTAGGCCATAAGATGACTTA